AATAATAATAATAATAATAATAATAATAATAATAATAATAATAATAATAATAATAATAATAATAATAATAATAATAATAATAATAATAATAATAATAATAATAATATAATAATAATAATAATAATAATAATAATAATAATAATAATAATAATAATAATAATAATAATAATAATAATAATAATAATAATAATAATAATAATAATAATAATAATAATAATAATAATAATAATAATAATAATAATAATAATAATAATAATAATAATAATAATAATATATAATAATAATAATAATATAATAATAATAATAATAATAATAATAATAATAATAATAATAATAATAATAATAATAATAATAATAATAATAATATAATAATAATAATAATAATAATAATAATAATAATAATAATAATAATAATAATAATAATAATAATAATAATAAATAATAATAATAATAATAATAATAATAATAATAATAATAATAATAATAATAATAATAATAATAATAATAATAATAATAATAATAATAATAATAATAAATAAATAATAATAATAATATAATAATAATAATAATAATAATAATAATAATAATAATAATAATAATAATAATAATAAATAATAATAATAATAATAATAATAATAATAATAATAATAATAATAATAATAATAATAATAATAATAATAATAATAATAATAATAATAATAATAATAATAATAATAATAATAATAATAATAATAATAATAATAATAATAATAATAATCACACTCTCAACCTCATGACTCTCATTTGGCAAAAACAACTCTTCTAGAACCTCTCCATTAAATGAATCTTGAAGTGGCTCTTGAATTGTCAAATCTTGACATTGAGCCATCTCGTGATCAATTTGAGCTTGTTGCTCCAGAAATTAGGAGTACAATTGCATTAACTCGTTGGTCTTTATGGACTTCATCTCAATTGTTGGGTCAAGTGACTAACATTCTTGTTGAAACTCTTGGTATGGAGACTCTTGAGCTCGCCCTTGATATTGGTAATTGGGGTCCAAGATGAAGCAATTTTTTGCCTCATGAAGTCCACCACATATCATGCACCATAAGGATTGTGGAGTAGGTGGTGTGCATCTTTGATAAGTGGCTTGACTCATGTTTGCACAAAATCCCTAACAACAAAAGAAAAAGAAACAAAAAAATAGATTTATTTAGCAACGGTTTTGAAACTAAAAGCAAACAAAAAGTAACTCATTTTAGTGACGGTTTCAAAACCGCCACAAAATACGTTTTCCATTAATTTCCGCGGTTGTAGAAAATCGTCGCTAAATGCTTCACGACACACTATTTAGTCACGGTTGAATAACCGCCGCTAAACACAATAGTGACAGTTTGTAACCGCCGCTAAATGCCTTATTTGGTGTAGTGTAAGTTCCTGGATCGATGTCATTATATTCTTCAAGAATTGATCAATAATGAATACTCTTAAAAACGAATATATTACATTGATTTATTAAATTCAGGTGAAATTTCATTAAAATAAAAATGTGACATATTTTAAGAACAATCAATATGAAAATTTCAATCCTTGCTTGAAAGTGATGATTATTGTCTCGTTCTTGATCTCAAAGTTGTTGTGGGTTTAAATGTTTTTAATTAAGCAAGTGGTGTGGGTGTCCTAACACGGAAGCTAAGAAAAATTAATAAAACTAGCTAAGAACTGAAATGAGATAAAGTATAAACACAGAAAATTGACTAAATCAACAATTGTAAAATGCTTCTTTTTTTAAGAATAAATTTTATTGATGAAAGCTTACGTGCATATATATGTTACAAATACTGCTTCAGAAAAAAAAAAAAAAAAAAAAAAAAAAAAAAAAAAAAAAAAAAACTGTAATGCTAAGTGTAAGCCTTGAAATACTATTCCATAATGGAATAACTAAGGAAGAGTATAGGAATTGCATTCTATTATTTGGTTCAGAATAAACTTTAGAAATTATATTATAATGTTTGGTTGGTTTAAATAATAGAAATGAAATGTGTTTTAAAACACATAAATGTTAATTACCCTTATAAAAATATGTGGTAGTGGTGGTAGAGTGGTGGTCATGTTGGTGGTGGCGACGGTGGGATTAGCGACGAAATAGGAAATAAATTTAATTGAGGGCAAAATAAAAAATAACAACTTTAAGCTATTCTTGAGAACTCAAGAATATCAAAATACCATGAAACCCAGGAATCTCTATTCCCCTTGCAGGGAAATAGGTCATTCTCAAAAACATTGTTCCGGAAATAGATGTTTTTACGAAACAAACAAATAGGCCTATTACTGAAAATGATATTCCATTCCAAGCCTATTCTGCAAACCAAACGTGCCATTACTGTATTAGTGGTCATAGAATTAGACATCTAGATTTAACTTCCCCAAGCTTAGGGATAAGCGAATATTAGTTAGTTAATTCAACTAATCATCAAGTAATTAGTATATATCAAATGGACACCTCTACTATAAAATATATAAATAATATGAATAATTTCTTATCTCTTGGTTTCCTTAATTCCTATGGTCTAAATATGACAATTTAATGTTGTCCAAAATTTTTTTTTTTAAAACTTGGGAGATCCCAGTTTTGTCAGACTAATCCTAAGTCAATAAGAGCTAGTCGACCAATCAGCCCACTAATCATATCCTAGTCTTCATTTGCAGATCCTAGTCTTGAGTACAAGGGATCCAATCCATTAGCATCCTTCAACCATTTTTTTCATACATGTTTCTCATGGAATTTGAACCCTCGATCAATCAGTCCAATGGTGATATCCTAGTCATGTGCACAAGAAATCCAATCCACTACGTACCATCCTTATACCATTTTTCTCATACATGTTTCCCATTGAATTTGAACCCCGCCACTGCTACCCTCCATCATGATCTCGTTAAATCCTAGTCTTCATGTGCATAAGGGATCCAATAATCCACTAGCATCCTCGGACAATTTTTCCCATACATGTTTTCCATGGAATTTGAACCCCCGCTTCCATTTTTCCCATACATGTTTTTCATGAAATTTGAACCCCACTTCTGCCTTCCGTTTAACATTTAAGTCAACTACGCTAAACCCCCTGTGTTGCACACAAAGAGTCTTCATCACATTTGATCAATTTTTCTTTTAAACATTTTGGGAGAACCCCCACCCTGCGCTGGAGCAAAATTTCCAAAATGACTCTGGCAGTATACAACAAATAGGATTGACCAAAGCATGCATCTATCTCAAAACTTCAAATATAATAAAGCATTGATAATAAGACTGCAACTTAACCTCAAATTCAGATAAGTAATATAATTACAAGAACTGAAGATGGAGACGATTGGACACAATAATTATAAGATCAAAAGAGCGAGATTCAATGGATGAGAGGGGAAAAAACCAAAACATCAAAACAATGTATGTGCTTATGGCGTTACACAATCAAACCCTTTGCACACACCAGAAGGATGTTTGCGCAACCCAAATTTACTAACAACCAAAACAGCACTGCAAAGTTCTTGAATCTTCGCACTTGCTTTTCCAACCTCTCGAGGTTCAGGATTATACTTTTTGAATAATTTATCACACTTCCAAAAATGCTTAAAAAGCGAAAACGCTTGAGATTTTAGTTCTTTAAAGTCTCCCGACCCCGAATTTAGGGCACTCCTGCACCAAGAAACATCAACAATTGCCTCATTGCATTGATCCAAGCATATGGACAGTCGTAGTTGTTGCTTAGGCGTCAAACTTGTTAGATTTAGAAAGGAATTGATCAAATCTTTCATGCTATATACTCTTGGCTCTATTTTATCCAGTATAATTCCGGCTAGGCTCGTGTAATTTGCACCTTTGCTCCGACCATCGGATATTAGTTCTGTCAAACAAAAGCATGGCATCATGGTCTCGAAGCAAACTTTTTTTACTATGTTGGGTTTTGCATATGTAGTAGTGACGACAATGGATGGGAGGCAAATTGTGGCAAAAAAAGACAACAAAAATGGATTTTTAATACAACAAGCCATTTCAATTTCAATTCTTACTGAGGTAGATATGTAGATAGGTTGGGTTCTTATATATAAAAAAAAAAAAGAATATATAAAGCCTGAAGAATAGAAATGCTGTTATGGGCTAAACCCCTTCTTTTGGGTTTTTTGGTAACAGCAAACTTACAATCCTTGACCAAATCAAACTCCCTTGTTTTCATATCTCATTTCACAAGAGATGAAAACTAAAGTTCCAAAATATCATAATTATTATGAAAAAAAAAAAAAAAAAACACTTACATGAATTTCCTCCCATAATTAAGGAAAAAAATTAATTACTGAAATAGCCCCTTGACTATAACAAAATTATTAATTTGATCCTTGACTTTTTTTTTTCTAATTAAGTCTTCAACTTTGAAAATCTTAACCAAGGTTTACCCTCCGGTCAGCTTATAAATTTGTTTAATTTGAGGGTATTGCTGGAATTTCACATCACATACATAATTTCCTCTCTTATTAAGCTGAAGAATTAATTATCGAAATTGTCCCTTCACTATAGAGAAATTACCAATTTGGTCATGAGCAGCCATGGAAGCAACTTGAAATTTTAGCAATACTCTTGAATTAAATAGACGTCGAACGACTTAAAATTGAAGACTTAATTATGAAACAATAGTCAATGACCAAATTGGTAATGTTGTTATAGTCAAGCTAATGGACTATTTCGGTAATTAACTCTAAGGAAAATGTTATTTTCAATCATCGACTATAATAATACTCTAATGAGTAAATTACCGAAATGATCCCTCAATTATTGTGAAATTATGAATTTGGTCCTCGACAATTTTTCTTCCCCAATTACGTCCTCGATTTTGAAAAAGTTAATCATTTTGGTCCTCCGTTCGGTCAGGCGTTAGATTTCCATTAACTTGGAAGGCAATTATGGAATTTCACTTGATAATACCCATTTTCTTTCTTATTTAATTGTTTAACCCTATTTCTACATCAGATTCACGCTTCATCCTCACTACTCTGTCTCTCCGAATCAACGCTCAACACTCACCTCCGACAATGGTTTTGTAGCTATGCAAGGTACGTATGTCAACAGCGAGGAGAGTTCTTGTCATTCAATGGTTTACTATGGCGAGGAAAATCTATATTGTATTGTCAGTGTGGTCAAAGATTGAAGGTACGGACATCATGGACGGATCAAAACCCTGGAAGAAGGTATTGGGATTGTGCACATGAAAATCAAGTGAGTAATACTGATTTTTATTTTTTTTTTTGGGTTTATTGATTTTTTTTTTTGGGTATACTGATTTTTTTATTTTTTATTTGGTATACAAGGGAGGGGTGTTGGTGGTTGTGGATTTGTGAGATGGTTTGACCCTCTAATGTGTTCAAGATCCAAGATGATTATTCCTGGGTTGCTAAGAAGAATAAACCGGAATGAACAAGAAATTGAAGCCCTAAAAGCAAAGATTAGAGACATTGGCAGTGTTAAGGCATCTAATTCCACTGTGAAAACAAAAGTAAAGTGTTTGTGTAGAGTTGTGTTTATTGTATTTGTTTTTGTAACAATGTTAGTGTTTGTTAGTTGGGAGTTCAAGGCTAATAGTGTCGGGGTTAAAAAACTTATTTTAGCTTAATAGTGTTGGAATGTAATGGCCTATGTAGAACTACTATGTGAATGATCTATTGAAGAATGTTAATGAATGCTCAATTTAAGAATGGTCAAAAACTGCCCTGCCAAACTGTGGATGTGGAATGAATGTGCCAAACTGTGAATGGGAATTCATGTGTTTATCATCTGTATTAAACAGAAGCAAAAAACTGCAAAAAGTGTATTCATCAAGTGTTAATTTAGTGTATTCAACATAAGCCAAAAACTGCCAAAATACTCTTGCAAAAAACTGCCTAAATTGTGTATTAAACAATAGTCAAAAAAATGCCAAAAACATATGCCAAAGACTGCCAAAATCAAGTGTATTCAACATTAGCCAATCACTGCCAAAAACTATTGTCAAAAAACTGCCAAAACTAGTGTATTAAACATAAGTCAAAACCTGCCAATAACATAAGCCAAAGACTGCCAAAATCAAGTGTATTCAACATAAGTCAATCAATGCTAAAGACTGCCAAAGACTAGTGTATTCAACATAGGCAGCACTAGTGTATTAAACTGCCTAAACTACTGCCAAAAACATAAGCCAAAATCTGCCAAAAGACTAACATTCTTCCAATCCAACTCTATATCAATTGGGGCATTTTTGTTTCCACCCTGTTTGGTCTTGAGCATCACAGTTGATCTTGTCCTGCACTTCCAGCCAATAACAGTCATTGATTTGGTCATTCCTAATGACTTATGTGTCTTTGATTTGGGTGCCCTAGCTACATTGGATGGAGGATTTGATTCATCAACTTCTTTGCCCTTGCTACCATGGGAAGTAACTTTCATTCCCTCATCAGCTTATATTCCATGGAGTCCTACAATAAGGTAATTCATGTAATCAACAAGATTGAAAATATTTTCTTTCGTAGTCCTACAAGGTTAGGAAATACCTTTCATTTGGGAATTAACATCATCAACAATTGGGTAAATGTTATCTCCTACAATTAATAAAGGATCAACTACAATATAGAAAGAAATTAGAAATTGAACCAGTTTAATAATCTGTGATTTAAAAAAAAAAAACATAGAAAGAAATTAGAAAGTTACCCTGTGTCTCTTCTACTGGAACTGATTCAAATTCCCCAAGTGGGATTTCTTTTGGAGCTGGCAATTGGGAGTCAACATCTTCTACTAGAATTTCAGCTGCCAGTTGGGACTCAACATCATCAGCTGCAAGAATTTGAACATTTGTTGGAAATGGAATTGTTACTGGAAGTTGAACATCTTATGGATATGTATTTGCTGCTGGAAGTGGAACATCTGCAGTTGGAAATGGAATTCCTGCTGGAAGTGGAACATCTGCTACTGGCCTATTTGTTCTCTGCTTATATGTTAATAATGTTATGCTAATTAGATAACAACAGCTTCATGTAAAGGTTAATTTGAATAAAAGTAGTATGTTATTTACCTGAGGGCACCTCCTATTATTATGGCCAATTTGCTTGCAGATTGAGCAATGTAGTGTTACTCGGCTTCTTGAAAGACGAATTCCATCTTTTGTTTGTTCACTTGCAGATTTTTTCCTAAGCTTTCTTGGTCTGTCTGTTTTTTTACTGAACAAAGGAGGTAGTGGGGGATCGGATCTCTATCAGTGTATGGCTATTCTTGAGGCCCAGCCATAGGGTGAATACTACCTGAGTAACCATTCTTATAATTTTCATTTGTGTAGCAATCATCAACAAAGTCATGCAATGGGGCCTTTCCAAATTTGACCCAAAGAGCACAGATAACATGCCTGCAAAGAATGCCAGTGAGCTGCCACTTCCAACATGTCCCAAGTCCAATGTCTACTTGTTGTTGTCCAGTAGCTCCTTCCACTTCAAACAAAACTTCAGCGCTTTGGTATGCGCAATACCCTCTAGCTTGTTTCTCAAAAACAGAAATTTTCTTGCGTATTGCTGGACATATTCTTCCTTACCAGTTGCTTGCCTGCTTTCTACACAGAGTACAAAAAGAAGAGGAGATATCGGATCTCCTTGCAGAATACTCCGGATAGTTATGCTGTGGAAACATGTTCACCATGCGCATGGTGAACACAAAGGTAGATTCATAATTTCTATACTATAGATTCATTTTTTTTTTTTTTGAAAACATACATTCATAATTTTGTTTTTCATTTGTTGTTAACGGGATAGATCTATAATTTCTAAACTGTAGATTCATAATTTCTATACTGTAGATTCATAATATCTATATTGTAGATTCATAATTTCTATACTGTAGATTTATAATTTCTGTACTGTAGATTTATAATTTCTATACTTTAGATTCATAATATATGTAACAACAAATAAAAAAAACAAAATTATGAATCTACGTTTTTAAAAAAAAAAATTATGAATCTACAGTATAGAAATTATGGATCTACCCTTGTGTTCACCATGCGCATGGTGAACACGTTTCCACAGCATAATTTGCGAAATACCGCGCTATGGTCTGAACCAATCAGTCGTCTTGCCATTGCATGCTACTGCCAGTCTGGACGTGCTCACACATGCCATTATGTTCCTCGTCCACTCTTGGTTGAAACCTGCACATTTAAGGGTGGAGATGAAGTTCCATGACAATCTATCATAGGCCTTCTCTAAATCCACTTTGATTATCATCCATCCTTCTTTACCAATCTTAGATTTCATTGAATTCAAAGCTTCTTGATAAACTAGAATGTTGTCAGTGATTTGACTCCCTGGAACAAAACTAGTCTGGTAAGGACCAATCAATTTTCGCATCACAGGTTTAAGTCTCATGGTCATTGCTTTAGTCAGAATCTTATATGAGGTGTTGCACAGCCCAATGTTAAGGATATTTGTGGCTGACATCTTTTGTATATGATTAGTTCTAGTTGCATTCCCGTTGTACCAGAGTTCGACTGGTTGTTACAACAATCTGCTAACTACCTGCTATCTTCTCTCCCTTGTATGCTATTTAAAGCTGATTGTTTACATCAATAATATCAGTTAAGTTCATAATCTATTACCCAATAAGCCAAAATTAGCTAATGAGTTCAGGGCTGGGAACTAAGGATGCATTTTGTTCAAACATTGGATTCATAAATATAATTAAAATTAAATACTTGGTAACTGTAATGGGTTTAAGCTATGTGTCTTTTTTGGTAGTAAAAGGAATTGAAATAAAAATAAATAAATAAATAAATAAATATATATATATATATATATATATATATATATATATATATATTATAACACAATATCTAATAAATGAATCCCCATCCTCGGTCAAATATTTTATCAAACTAGTTTTTTTTTTTTTTTGGAATAAGGATCAAATTGGCCACTGAACGTAACCTGAAAATGCAATTAGGCCACTGAACGAAAAAAAAAAAAAAAGTGCAATTAAGCCACTGAACACTCAAAAAACGTGCAATTAAGCCACTGAACACTCCAAATGTATGCAATTTCACCTGATAGCAGGTTACCATCATTTTTAGCAGGTTACCTACTTACGTGACAAGTGAGTTGGCATTTTTAATAATTTTTAATAATAAATTTAAAAAAAAATTGGAAAAAAATTAAATAAAATAAAACTAAAATGAAGGGGTGGCTAGCAGCCACACCGTCGTTTTTTTTTTTTAAATTAAAAATTTATTATTAAAAATTATTTAAAAAATTATTAAAAATGTCATCTCAGCTGCCACGTAAGCAGGTAATCTGCTAAAATTGATGGTAACCTGCTATCAGGTGAAATTGCATACATTTCGAGTGTTCAGTGGCCTAATTGCACCTTTTTTCGTTCACTGACCTAATTGCATTTTCTGGTTTCGTTCCGTGGTCAATTTGAATCTTATTCCTTTTTTTTTTTTTTAAACAATGGACAAACTAGTATAATTCACAATATTTAAGTAAAAACACTTACATATTAAACTTTTAATCTTATCTTTATCAATTCTCAATAACAATGGAAATGTCAAATATAATATTTGAATAGTTTTTTTGCAAATGAGAACATCAATACAAAATTACAAAATAAAACACATCCATACTACCTATTTACTACTACTACTACAATGTTAAAATATAGGAATGAGGCTGGGCAAGGAGTATCCATGTCCCCGTCCTTTATTAGGAATTGAAAACATTTTTCTTCCTCGCTCCGTTCTCATAATTTATTCTCTATCCCCGTCCCCATTAGGAAAAAGATTGAAAATTTCTGGATGGAGAAAATTGACATTCCTAAATCCTAAATAGGTGTGGACCCATTCATGCCTGAGTCATGAGCAAAGGCGCAAAAAGCGCAAATTATGCCATGGAATCGTGTTCACCGAGAATGGTGAATACAAGGCAAAACGACGTCGTTTTTAGGCCAAAAAAAAAAATTTCACGGATGTGGAGTTAACGGCGCGCGTTTGATCAAATTATGAATTTTCTGTTATGAGATTATGAATTTTCATAAAATTCATAATCTCATAACAGAAAATTCATAATCGCATAACAGAAAATTCATAATCTCACAACTGAAAATTCATAATCTCATAACAGAAAATTAATAATCTTATAACAGAAAATTCATAATCTCATAGTTCCAAAGTGAATGTGTAGGCTTGGTTCCAAAGTGAATGTGCAGGCATGGATTCATAATTTATAAATGTCCGTGATTTCGGACGGGAATATGTAGGCATGGTTCCAAAGTGAATGTGCAGGCATGAATTCATAATTTATGAATGTCCGAAATTATGAATGTAATGAAAATTCATAATCTCATAACAGAAAATTCATAATCGCATAACAGAAAATTCATAATCTCATAACTGAAAATTCATAATCTCATAACAGAAAATTCATAATCTCATGGTTCCAAAGTGAATGTGTAGGCATGGTTCCAAAGTGAATGTGCAGGCATGGATTCATAATTTATGAATGTCCGTGATTTCGGACGGGAATGTGTAGGCATGGTTCCAAAGTGAATGTGCAAGCATGAATTCATAATTTATGAATGTCCGAAATCTTTGTTCACCTCAAATTTAAGTGAAACCGCAAAATGTGAAAATAAAGAAAAAAGTCACGCAATTAATTTAAAAAAAAAAAAAAAAAAAAAAAAAAAAGATAACGGTGTACTAACACCGTTAGAACCGTGTTCACCATGAATGGTGAACACGGTTCCATGGCATAACGTCTGCGCAAAAAGTTGCCCAAGTAGGCTTGCCAAACATTAAAAAGCCAAATCAAATAATCAATTACAAATTCAAAATCAAAATCACAACATACAGGTGAATTTCGAGAGTTTATAGAGAAGATTTGACTAAAGATTCATCACCCTCCAACTTTTTAATCTCCTTCGCAAACTTATCCATTGCTATAGCCGGCAAGCGAATTGGAACAACGATACCTTCCTCACCTGTCCTATTTTTATACCGTATGTGAAACGCAGCCACGGTGCCCTTTGCTGGACCGGCATAACGGGGCTTGCCCCACCCGAAATCAAGCTCTCCCAACCCGGCCCGGGTAACATCCGATACAAGATACGTCCTCGTCATATTATAACTTGGCCTCCCCTTGATGACCAAGAAATCAGCCAAGGACTTCATGTACTCCTCACACACCACTCCTTTAACCTTCATAATCAGCTCTACCGCATACCCCAACGGATTTCGGGTTAGTTCACCCGCCGTTGTTCTCGCGGCGACGTGAGCTAATGCATTGCCGTAATACCCGGGCGGTATAGACGAACCCGATAACCCAGTAGTCTTCCTGGAGCGCAGGTTAACGATGCAAAGGGCGCGCACTTCGTCATCTGGGTGGTACCTGTAAACACAAAAAAATAGTGACTTGATCTTCAAAGAAGACCTTTTATGACTTGATTTTCATTGAAGGGCCTCGGATTTTCTCTAGAAATAAGAGCTCCTATTTATAATTGGGATAGAAGTTCAAATTCTTTTGATATTATCAAATTACACAAAGTCAATATTATCAAAAAGAGTTAATACCGGCCATCTGGGGTCCCCCGAATATAATGATTTTGCCACATTTAGTCCTAAACTTTTAAATTGACCACCTGTAATCCTTCGACCTTCAAATTATTATCATCCGTGTTCCAAGTTAACCACTCATGGTCCTTCAACTATCAAATTTTAACCAACCATGGTCCTTCCAAAAGAACCAAGACTGGTTAAATTTTGAAAGTTGAAGGACTATCAGTGGTTAACATAGACCACGGATGGTAACAATTAGAAAGTCGAAGGATCGATCAATTTAAAAGTTTAGAACTAAATGTAACAACCACTATATTCAAAGATTCCATATATGCCATTAACTCTTATCCAAAAATATATTCAAATTGAAAAAGAAATATCTTTATCAAATTTTAAGTGTCTATCTATCGTACCCAAGAGCCATAGTCCGACAGCGCCATAGGAACGCGGTTAGCACTTCGAATGTGGAGCGGTTGCGCAAATGCGGCGGAAGCGAGCTGCGTAGAGAAGAGAGGTGGGCGGGGCCGAAAAAGAATGCGCGATGAAGCATGATGTTGTCGGATGGCGTAGTTATCGCTTTGGATTGGGGCAGTACATCATCGTACTCAGGGTGTTTGCAGGTTACACGGGGTGGATCCCTGGCACTAAATAGCTCCCTTTTCCAAACTGGGAGCACGGATGGCGAGGTTGCACCGCGTGCCATTTCAACGACAGTGTTAAGAAATTTTATTAGGCCGGGTGAATCACTTACTACGTGATTAAGGCTTACTGTAAAGATGAAACCACCGCATCTTAAACGGGTCACCTGAACGTACAAATTAAAAAAGAATATATTTTTAAAAAATCCTGTAAAAAAGTCCTATATATATATATATATATATATATATATATATATATATATATATATATATATATATATATATATATATATATATAGGGACGTACTCAGGTGCGAATAAGTGCCAAGGAAGGAAATGCGAACGAATCAGCGCGCGACACGTGTCCAGATCTAATAACTTTAAAAAAAACGCGGTGGCATTTTCGTAAATAATTGAACATCGAAGTGCAAGTAAAATCTCTTATAAGTGCACCTATTTTCACCTATTAGTGCATGTAATTTTGCCTTGTTAGCATTCACTTTCCGCAACCATTCATGCACCTGGGTGTGCTTATAACTATATGTGCAACTATTTATAACTATAGGTGCAACTACTTATAACTATATGTGCACCTACTTTCACCTATAAGTGCATGTAATTTTGCCTTGTTAACATTCATTGATCTGAGTTCGCGAGTAGTAATACTCCTGAAAACCACTCGCAAACATTCATACACCTAGATGCAACTACTTATACCTATGTGTGCAACTACTTAGAACTATTGGTGCAACTACTTAGAACTATAAGTGCAACTAAGTATTGATGCTCAGTGTAAATTTTTACTTGCACCTATAATACATTTTACATGCACTTGTAATACATTTTACTTGCACCTCGATGTTCAATTATTTACGAAAATGCCACCGCATTTTTTTTAAAAATCAGTGTTTCTCATCCATTAGATCTGGACACGTGGACGAACAGAATCCATTCCTATTTCGCGCCTGGACGAGTCGTTCGCACCCGAGTGCAAGTCTATACATATATATATATATATATATATATATATATATATATATATATATATATATATATATATATATATATATATATATTTTTTTTTTTTTGCTGAAAAATATTACTTAAACTTCTAAAATCTACTCTCACTTTTTAATCCTTCACACCAATTTTTGGAGTGGAGATCTTTAATTTAGAACCCCAGAATAAAGATAACTTTTTGTTATCTACTAGAGTAAAAGTGAAGAAATAGAGATCAAGAATACATATAATAAAATTCTATATTGCTATTTGTTTAAAGAACTATGTTATACTATTTAAAGTTTTACGGTAAAGTTAGCGATAATTTCAAAAATACCACCACATTTAACAAAAAAAAAAAAATTTAATGTGATCATTCAATTCCAATTTTTACAGATGTAATATATATATATATATATATATATATATATATATATATATATATATATATATATATATATATATATATAAAATTAAGTTTCTGTGTGGTTAAGTGTTTCCCATGTGGTTAAGTGTTTCTTGTGCGGTTGTGTGGTGAGTAATGTGCGTGAGTCTTGTACTTAAGGTGTGTGAGTCTTGTGCTTAAGGTGCGTGAGTTTTGTGCTTAAAGTGCGTGAGTGTGTACTTAGTAATTATTGAAACTTAAGGTGCGTGAGTTTTGTGCTTAAGGTGCGTGAGTCTTGTGTTTAAGGTGCATGAGTCTTGTGCTTAAGGTGCGTGAGTCTTGTGCTTAATGTGAGTAGTTGTTGAAACTTAAGGTGCGTGTGTTTTATGCTTAAAGTGCGTGAGTTTTGTGCTTAAGGTGCGTGAGTTTTGTGTTTAGGGTGCGTGATTTTGTGCTTAAGGTGCGTAAGTTTGTGTTCTTAAGGTATTTTATTTGTGTGCTTAATGTGCATGTATTGTATACTCAAAGTGCGTCAGTTTAATGTTTAATGTGCGTCCACCCGCACAACCACACGGGAAGCCCTCCTCGCACCTGATCCCTTCCATATATATATATATATATATATATATATATATATATATATATATATAATGCAAATGCTTCTCCAAGTAAAAAATGCGTACAGTTGCTGACCATAGATATAGTCCAAATCAACGGTCCAGATGGAAGATTAATTAAAAAATGCATGGTGGCATAATTATAATTTTGAGTAAGACAAATTGCCTTTGTATTCGAGTGTTTGGTTGTATTTCAAAACACTGTAGTAGTCTGTTTGGACCATTTTCTGAAAAATGAGCATAATTATATCAAAAACACAATATTATTTATAAAAAAAATTAAAAAGAGCAATGGTTTCATTATTTTAAAAAAATGGTTTCCAACGAAAACTAGTAAAACCAGCTAATCTAGTTTCAGTCGAGAATCAGATTTCTGGTTCCCAACAGAAACCAACGAAGAAGATGGAGAATAGGAAAAATGTTGCTTTGAGTTTTCCGAAAAATGACTTTCCTTCAAAATAAGGAATGTCATTTTTCAAAAAAATGAACTTATTGTCCCTTTGACCGGAAATCAATTTCAGTCATTTTCACCCTTGCCAAACACTTAGAAACCCGAAAAATGATTTACTTGAGAACATTTTATATATTTTGAAATAAAAATAAAAAAAATACTTTTTAAAAGTAGATAATTAGAAGTGGAACAATTCAATAATTCAAAGAATAAACATAAAAATATAATTAAAATCTCAGATTATGATAAGAAATAGTAAAGGATAAATAAAAGGAAAGCTTTAATATAATCCAGTAGAAGAAATTAAATACCTGAAAGAGGAGCAAAGGGAAATTGAGAAATTCTTCGGAGCCACCGACAGGATAGATTAGCTCATCCAAACGCGGAATAGGCGGGTGAAGTGCGTCCCCGAATGCATCGAGCGGAACATCAGCGTCGGCCTCCGTGAACATCACTCCCTCGCCGGTGCAATCCACCGACAATTTCCGGCCGGCACCCTCCCGGAGCCGGCCGGCGAGCGGGTAGTAGAACACTAGCGCCTTGGCTATCGCCGCCCGAATGAACTTTGCGGGATCCACTCCCTCCATGGAAGAACTCTTAGGGTAAAAGAAGATATTGGGGATGTGAGATCTCAACCCTTCCTGGTCGTCGATATCGGAGAGCTGTTTTATCTCGCGAGGAGTCGGCTCGGCCGGAGGCACCAGCTGCGGCGGCCACCGCCTCACGGTAAAGGCTAGAGGTTGTGGCAGCGGTGCAAGAGCCATGAGTGGAGAAGAGGAATTCGAACAAAAAAAAATTGTTGAGGTTGAATATTGTATATGAAATATACTATTTGGAGTCGCTAATTCTACCATCAACGTTTACTGATCTCTCACTTCACTTTTAATGAAAGACATTTTTTTTTTTAGACATACAAAATGAAAATAATTTATTAATGATTGTCATGCCATGAGCAAAAATAGCAAGTAAAGATTTAAAATTAGGTAATAAGAATTGACTAAAGTTATTTTAATTCAATTTTTTATAGTATTAATTTTAGTATTAGTATACAAAATTTATATATTTAGAAATGTAAATAAAAGTACTATTAACACAAAACACAAATTTAAAAGTAAAAACTATTAAAGAAAATAAACAAAGAAAAATGAGTTAGATTTGAGCTTATCCGTTGTGATACACAATTCTGGTGGAATCTATACCTTTGCTTGTAGTTCTAGATTCCTTGTGTATTGACTCTTGTTGAGATGTAGAATTGTTGTGATGTGATGATTGAGTTGGTAAAGTGGACAGTGTGGGAACTTATGTGTTACTGATATGTGATTGGCGGGCCTCTGGCTCTGTTTGCAATGTGTCATGTTGGTGTGGGAAGCCCTTGACTGGTCGGTGGCGTGGAAAGCCTCGATCAACCATTGTGAACTAATCCGGTAGTGAGTTTAAAGCTCCGGGTTGCCGTTTGGATTATTGATTTGTGGGCAACTTGGGAAACTTATTCCAGTTGCTAGAGAAGGTAGCTAGCTCGTTGGGCTTGGAATCCCAATAGGGGGTGTATACACTTAAAGTTACTAGATATGTTTCCATTGGACTGCGGTCCGAGTCATTGCGATGCCTCCGTGGTATGTGATTGACGATTTGGAGCCCTCCACACTGATCCACTATGATTTGAGTCGTTGCGATGACTCCACGGTGAATGACTTGGTTTGGCTATGTCCTTTGTGGATTTGGAACCTTGTCGGGAATAGATTGATTATGATTCTTGTAACTCTTTGCTTATGAGCATATCTTCATGTGATCTATTGATTGATGTTTGATTACATTACCGTTGATTATCGTTGAATCCGTATCATTGTCTTCTTGTATTGATTCTATTGCTTAACCGTTTGTCAGTCAGTACTATTGAGCGAATCTCTTGATGAGTCAAATGATATGTTTATCTCTTGTTTTAAAGCTAGTGTTGCTAATAAGGCTATACTTATGTATTCCCAAGTCTCAAATGATTTTCTTATAAAATACCTATATTATATTGTACTCAACACGTTGGGGTGGGTTACTTAGCAATTTACGGTAACGGTTGTAATACCTTAATGTTTTCAGATGCTAGTCAGCCCGAGAGCGTGTAGTGGAGCCGATATAGAGTATATTTATATTTACTCTAGTTTAGCTGTTTTGGCCTGTGTGCCCTTGTTCTTTGACTTGTAGTTAGTAGTGGTTCGTTAAGCCTGTGCATCTAAATAGAAGTTCTAGATGTGGCATAGCACCCCTTAACTTTGTTAGTTTCCGCTGGAATTCTGTATGTTAACGAATAGTCGTTATCTTTATTTCCTAAGTTAAACTGTTTACCGTTGTTAAGTTTTGGGGGTGTTACACACATGCCCCAGCCACCAAACGCCATGCGGATTGCCAAGTCCGGCAAATCCGCGCATGTGGATTGCGATAATCCACATGCCCCAGCCACCAAACGCCATGCAGATTGCCAAGTCCGCCAAATCTGCGCATGTGGGTTGCGATAACCCACATGCCCCAGCCACCAAAAGTCATGCGGATTGCCAAGTCCAGTTCGCGCATGTGGGTTGCGATTACCCACATGCCCCAGCCACCAAACGCCATGCGGATTGCCAAGTCCGGCAAGTTCGCGCATGTGGGTTGCGATAACCCACATGCCCCAACCACCAAACTCCATGCGGATTGCCAAGTCCGGCGAGTCCGCGCATGTAGGTTGCGATAACTCACATGCCCCAACCACCAATTGTACACCGACTGCCTACCTTGTCATGCGAGTCCGTTACTCGATCATCCGAATGGTTGTTCAAACATTAGAATAAAAAATATAATTAAAATCAATTACTGGATAATTGTAATAGGTTTAAACAATGTGTCTTTTTTTTTTTTGGTAGTAAAAAAGAATGGGAATAAAAATAAATAACTAATTAATTAATTAAAATTAAAATAAATAAATATATAACAATATATAATAAATGAAACCACATCCTCGATCAAACTTTTATCAAACTAATTTTTTTTTTTAAACAATGGTCAAACAAGTATAATTCACAATATTTAAGTAAAATCACTTACATACTAAACATGAATTAATTACCGATTTGATCCCTCGACTATGAGAATTTCACCAATCTGATCATCGATTTTCAAAATTTCTCAATTTAGTTCCCGACTATGCCTTTTTTTTTTTTTACTCAAAATAGTCCTAACCGAAATGGTACCTTAACTATAGCAAAATTACCAATTTGGTCTCGAGTTAACGAATGTCTAACGGTTAGGACCATTTTGGGTAAAAAAGGCATAGTCGAGGATTAAATTGAAGAATTTTGAAAGTCAAGGACCAGATTGGTAAAATTCTCATAGTCGAGGGACTAAATTGGTAATTAACTCTACTAAACATTTAATCTTAAAATAGTTTGATCTTTATCAATTCTCAATAACAATTGAAATGTCAAATATAATACTCAAATAGTTTTTTTTTTTTTTTTATGCAAATGAGGACTCAACAACAACCAACAACAACACCAACAACACCAACAACAACAACATAGGGACGCGGTTGGGCAAGAAGGAATATTCATGTCCCCGTCCTTGATTAGGACAGAGATCAAAAATTTCCAAACGGAGAAAACTGACATTCCTAAATAGGGGTGAACCCCTTCAAGCATGAGTCATGGGCAAAGGCGCAACAAGTTGCCCAGACGGGCTTGCCAAACATTAAAAAGCCAAATCAAATAATCAATAAAAAATTCAAAATCAAAATAAGCTGAATTTCCTGCAAGGCTATGATAGAGATATGAGGTTGACAGTTTATAGAGAAGATTTGATTAAAGATTCATCACCCTCCAACTTCTCAATCTCCTTCGCAAACCTATCCATTGCTATAGCCGGCAAGCGAATTGGAACCACGATACCTTCCTCACCTCTCTTATTATACCGTATGTGAAACCCAGCTACAGTGCCCTTTGCTGGACCGGCGTAACGGGGCTTGCCCCACCCGAAATCAATCTCTCCAAACCCGGATCGAGTAACATCCGACACAAGATATGTCCTCGTCATATTATAACTTGGCCTCCCCTTGATGACCAAGAAATCAGCTAGGGACTTCATGTACTCCTCACACACCACTCCTTTGACCTTCATAATCAACTCTACCGCATACCCCAACGGATTTCTGGTTAGTTCACCCGTTGTTGCTCTCGCGGTAACATAAGCTAATGTATTGCCGTAATACCCATGTGGTATAGAGGAGCCGAACCCAGTAGTCCTGGAGCGTAGGTTAACGATGCAAAGGGCGCGCACCTCGTCGTCCGGGTGGTACCTATAAACACACAACAAAATTTACTTGATCTTGAAGAACTTATATGAGGTTATCTGCTTAACCACATAGTTCTTTGGCTATCTGGTTGTCATGTCCTACTTAAAACAAATTGGTAATAATTAGGTGGACATTAACCATTTAACCACATTTCTCCATGGAAAGTTATAGCGCCACGTCTTGAATCGAGTAAGGGTTGAACACTATGCTTACTTTCTAGTGTGTGTGCGTGGGGGGGGGGGGGGGGTCACCCTGACAACTATAAATCAAGTACGAGTTCTTTGGCTATGTTGTTGTCATATCCTACTTAAAACCAATTGGTGATAAGTAAGTAAACACTAATCATTTAACCACATCTCTACACATGGTAAGTTACAATGTCACGTCTCGAATCGAGCCGGGACTGAACTTGGCCCACCCAGTCGACGCCCAACATCCCGTCTTCTCTAAGCTCCTATTTATAGTTGGGATAGGAAAAATTTGAATATATTCAAACTATTTTGATATTATCTAATTAAACAAATTAAAAAATATCATCATTTTCCAAAAATATATTCAAATAGATTAAAAAAAAAAAACATCTCTATCAAATTTTAAGTGTGTACAGTACCCAAGAGCCATGGTCCGACAACGCCATAAGAACGCGGTTAGCACCTCGAATGTGGAGCGGTTGCGCAAATGCGGCGGAAGCGAGCTGCGTAGAGAGGAGAGGTGGGCGGGGCCGAAAAAGAATGCGCGATGAAGCATGATGTGGTCGGATGGCGTAGTTGTCGCTTTAGATTGAGGCAGTACATCATCGTACTCAGGGTGTTCGTAGGTTACACAAGGTGGATCCCTGGCACTAAATAGCTCCCTTTTCCAAACTGGGAGCACGGATGGCGAGGTTGCACCGCGTGCCATTTCAACGACAGTGTTAAGAAATTTTGTTAGGCCGGGTGCATCACTTAGTCACTTACTGCGTGATTTATGCTTACTGTAAAGATGAAACCACCGCATCTAAGACGGGTCACCTGAACAAATTAAAAATGAATACATTTTTAAAAAATACTGCAAATACATGTTACGTTCACTTAAAAATATTACTTGGACTCCCAAAATCTATTCCCACTCTTTACTCCCTCACACAAATTTTTGAAGTAGACATCTTCTTTGAGACTCACAGAATGAAGATAACTTATGGTTGTCTGGGTAACTGCAAGAATTTGTCCTCTTTCAATTTACTACCTAGAATGAATGCAAATTCCCTTCTACACACGAGAACTACATGCATCGAGCAAAAATACACAAGTTTAATTAGTCAAGGTCCATTTTGGTATTAACTCAAAAAAAAAAAAAAAAAAAAAAAAAAACTCTTCTGTTCACTTTTAAAAAAATGGGAGACTAATGAGGATGAAGCAGTTAGTGATGCCTGGTGGTGAAATATCGCAGTTAAAAATCTCTATCAAAAAAAAAAAAAATGCAAGCTTAATTTTATATATCTAATCTAATCAATAATTACTATAAACTATATGCACTGAAATAATTATTATAAATATATTAACCACCACTTCAATTAAGCAAAAAGGCTAAAATAATCCTGAAATTCTA